ATATAAATATATATACATATACACGAGCCGAACGACTGCATAACCCATGCACTGCCATCAGAAGGATAGACTATATAGAAATAGCCTGCCAATGAGAGAGGTACATAAAGTGAATGCATAGATGTTACAGAAAGTAACCTGTTTGCTTTGGAATTTGTGTGCAAGAACGACTATAGGCAGTCTGACACTAAGCCCTGAGCGTAATTGTCGACCATCATCCTTGCACTGAAACCAAGCAAGACAATGGCCCGATAAAATATGTCCCGTGAATGTCTTCTAAAGACATCTCGACCCCATATATACAATCACAATAACATGTTCTAGCACTAAGACAATGATCCTGCGATAGATATTCTAGAAATAAATACAATAAATGGTCGACCCACATATGCATTCATACAGTCAAGGTATCGCTGATGTCTGCGCCCTCCCCGGCGCGACTGCTTCTCACTGTATTTGCGCTGAGATAATGGCGTCTTTCTGAATCGCGGCTTAGGCCCAGGCAGAGGAATAGTATCCCGCATGGGCTCCGACGGCGATAGTGCGATCACCGACATGACTGATAGGACTTGTATATTTGAATTGATTCGTGGTGTGACGAGAAAAAGTCTATTGATAGGAAGAAAATGAGGCTGAAGTATGTACTTTGACTAAAATTACTAAGTGTGTACACAGATGTGTATTAATACAACAAAATTGGATGGAGTTTGTATACAGTTGCTGTTTGCAGTGTCGAGAATTCACACATCTGTTGGATCTACTGCGTACGAATGGTGTACCAAATTCGACGTGTGGGCTGTTTGGGTATCCAGGTTTTTATTTCGTTCGACTTCCTGAACGCTTCCTATATGTATTTATACAATCGTCGATCACATCATTCACTATATGAGTCACGGCAAAATCAACTTCTACGCACCAATCACAGAGGGCCAAACACCATATGAAAGTTTCGATACTTTGTATTGGATGTAATGAAGAGTTTAAATTCACAGGATTGGATACAAAATATATATTCATTCAAAGTGCGAGACCTATATTAATACCGAATTAACATACATACATGGACTTCAATGATACTCGATACGTACTTCGCCCGCTCTCTCTCTCTTCTCTCTCTCTTCTCTCTCTCTTCTCTCTCTCTAGAGAGACCTACGTAGTTGCCTTCTCACTTGGTTTCGAAGTAGTGTAATCGTGACCGGGGTTGCGGTGTGGGGGATTGATATGCGCTTTGCAACACCACTTCGGAATACACTTGGTGTAGGCATTCAATAATTGTCCCCTCTCAGGCATAAATGATAAAGTCTGAGGCGGGACAGGTTAAGTGTGATGTTAAGCTCGTATTTGTTTGTTGCGAAACGTACACCACTTCCAAGTCATTCCTATCATGTAGAAGACACATATATGCTGTGGAAATGGAACGCGTATATATGAAATGTACGAGTGCTTAGTTTCTTTCCGTCTATCGATCGCAAAGTGGCTACTGAATAGTCTCTGACCGTAGCAATAAATCTACAGGGTTTGTTCGGGTGAACTAGTCTGCACCTTCTATCAGGTCAGTGTAGTTCATAACCATTTGTTATGATCAGGACATCGGTGGAATATCAAAGACTTTCCGCAATGCCATGAATAGAGGGACAGCATTTCACCAAAATATTTCAAGAAATATGTAGTCCTACTGATTATTTGTATTCGTCTGCCTGCTGCTCTGAGATTGTTACCATAACCAAGACCCTATAATCCGCAAGATGTGTCCTTATATGTTTGAGACTCATAGGAACTAGCACTGGAAACTGCTAACTCGCCCAGTGGATCCACTGACCACAGCACAAAACGCTCAGTTGAAGTTCGCACACTGATAGTTAACTATATAGCATTTCTTTTTTGGGAAGACTCATGCTCGCCTGCACCTTTTATTAGGTCGATCGTAGGTCATATTCATTTCTTGTCACCAGAGCATTAGTGAAATTTAATGACGTTCCGCACCACCATCGATAGTGGGTTTCGCCAAGAAAATCAAGAAAACATAGTACTACCAACTAATTGTATTCGTCTGCCTGTTGCTTTGGCATTCTTACGGTAACTAGGCTCCTATAATCCGTAAAATGCGTCGTTACATGACTAGGACTCATAAAACCTAACACTGGCTGCTGCTATCTCGCCCAGTGCGTCCACTGAATACTGAATCACACAAAATACAGGAGGATGTTCAGATAAGACATCACAGGCTCACTGATAGTCAACAATACAGCAAATGAAAATGAAGACACAATTGTGTTCGTATAAATCACGAATTCGTAAAAACTGAAAATAAAAACGCAAATATGTGATAAAGCGTTCAAAGTCAACACCAGCTCGCTAGTACATCTTGTTATCCGATTGCCGATGGTATCTGAGGGTAGACTGTGCAGTGGATACGCTTAGATAGGGATTGATGGATAGATAAGCTCGTGTAGTTGATCTGGCGGTTTGTATTGTTTCAATCCCTTTGCTGATGCGTGGTCCACCCCTCGAGTTGCTGCGACTATAGTACACGGTGCTCCAGGGGAGGTGCGTAAACACTCTCAGCGCGTAGAATAATACACTATAAGCACACTATCGTACATGCGCGATATCTTTAGATCGCCTGCTGTAAGCAATAAACGAGCACATATAAGGCGTGCTTATGTGCGCCGAGACCAGGAATATCTATCAATACACAGGTTAACACAGTATTGATTAGATTAAAAAACCGGTATCGATATAAACAGTATTTCTTAGATTGATACTAAAGGTCAGCATTCAGATGTCGGATTCAGATACACCCGAACATGCCTCCAAAGGTAGCTTGAAACCTGTTATGCCTGATGTACTTGACATGCTGAACCGGTCAAAGGCCTCGCCGTCGCCGTCGTCATTGTCTTTGCCACATGTCATCACCACAGACGCTGCAGAAGACAACGTTTCAGTCCCAGGTATGCACTGGCATATACCGGCATAGCATCAACAATATCTGCGAGATAACATATCCGGCTTGGGGCACTTCATAAAACAGTTCACTTTACACGCTGATCACACCCATGCGATTGATACAATCATAT